CATAACATAGTTTCAATTATACACGTCTGTACTGTAAAACAAACAGCTTCAATGCAAGAACTTTGTCACTTTAACACAGGTCTTTACTTCAAGACATCTATCAGGCAGACTCAGGCGAAAACCCCCCCAACTTAACACATTAATCTTTGTGTAATCTTGGCTTGGTTTGAGTCATTTGTTTGACTTTCTAGCCTACCTATAGACATTCGGCGCTGACAGCGATGGCGACCGTGGTCACTCGCGCTCTCTTGTTTGTTGTTTTTCTTTGTTTTCTTGGTCTTTTGCAACTCATCCCGGATTACTTTACCAGAGAAGAACTGTTAAATATCGGACAACTCACACCAAACTATCTTCCTTCGATTTTTGTGAACAAAGAATGCTGTATGGACATTCTGATCCATGCTGCAAGTGACAAAATATTGTTCGTTACTGCCTGACTTTTGCTCTGATTGGCTGGTCAGTACAGAAGAAAGATTTGACATGGGGTGTATTTGTTTTCTGTTCAGTTCAGTCAAACATTTCTGTAATGTACCTGTCTGAAGTAGAGTTGTATGTTTGTGTGTGCCCTGGGGCAGAGCTTTGGTTGGGGGTGGTGGTGCAAGCCCTGGGGGGATGCAGCCCACCCCAGCACCACACTAGATCCATGCCCAGTAATGACTTTATTGTTTCTTGTTTTAAATGAAAGCTAAAAGGTAGTGATGACAAACTGGTTACCTCACATACTAGTAACCCTACTTCGTTTAAAAAAAATTCAGTATATTGCGGCAGCCAGGTTAAGGCGCATATCATGTACAGTACCTACAATGTCCATGGTTTGACTCCTAGGGACCTTTGTTACATTTCCTGTCAGTATCTCTAATACCACTATCAAATAAAGGCAAAACTGAAAAAAAATAAACATTTTTAAAATGTGTCAAATAAAGGCATGTAATAGCCATGAATTTATGTAATTAATACTCTTGGTTTTTGTTAATTCATACTGTTTCATCACAGCCCAAAATTGAATATTCCACAAAATTTATGGTCTTACCTTTACTTGTACACAAAATCCATTTGTCAGCTGGTATGTATTACAAACCCTTTTACCGTTCGAATCCAAAATTAAAACAAATGTTTTCAATAAAGAAGATCCTTCTGGACAAAAATGTCCAGACTGTTTGTCACTCACTTTACACCTTACATACAGCAATCAGAAGATTTAGGACAATGTTGCCTGCCACCCCCCTCTTTGTGGCCAAATAATGGGTAAACATTCTTTAACTCGTATACTGAGCTCCCATATGAATGGTCTCCCATTCTTTGGCACATTTGTGTATTATTGACTGTCAGAAATTTCTTATTTACAGGTACTTTCATAAGGAGGGAAAATGCTGCTTATGTCAATTTTTGTCTGTTCATTTTCTTAATAGAGATGTGCTCGAGATGTCCTGTTCCTCCATAGTGGCTAAACCTTTAATAAACAAATGTATTAAAGATTTTAGCCACACACACTGCTCAGACTAACTGGAATCTCATCAACTCTTTTTTTTTTAAATTCATGAATTATGACAATTAAAGCAGCACCAGTTTTAAAGACAGTGATCAAGGTGGTTCTTTTTATGCTGAAAGATATAGAGTATGAGCATTGGCATCATCACAAGAAAACACATTGGCTTGTGAGCACCCATTGTCTTTGTAGTCATGACAGGATTGAGCTACTGTATTTTCCCAGCTGAATTCAATGTTGTAGATAAGGGTGGTAGAAGGTAGTAGAGCCATTGGGGTGGGGGCCTTGGGTTTAGTTGAGTGGCTTGCCTCATTACTGTAAGGTTTTTGCGTGCATGAGTGGTGCTGAAGTGAGCTAATGAGCAGATGTCGGACTGTTCCTTTTAATTAAATCCCCTTGACCTTTGTTATTCTGAGTGTAAGCCCACATCTTTTTTTATAACATAACCTTGTTAGCCATGGTACTGTGTATACCATTTTCAGCAACAGACTTTAAAGGTTCGAGTCTTCCCATGTTACAGTATATGATACAGTACATATATCAGATTTAAATACAAATTTTAGGATAAAGTTTACTTCTGTTAGTGGTTTTGGATGTTAGGAATAATTTTTTTTTTTTCTTGATGCAGAATGTTTGAAGATGACACATAGTCCTCCAGCAGAGCTACTCTCATATAAAAAGAGAATAGCTCAGCCTCTGTACCAGATTTTCACCTCCAGCTCCATCAGCACGTGTTTCAAGAGGCCACTCTTTCATGAAAAAGCATCCAGTATTTCTGTCCAGCACTTGGAAAAAGCTAATTATTCTGAGCACAAGGTGCAACACAAGGTCTCTGTACAAAAGGAGACTGAGGTGTCTTGTCTGAAACAAGAAGCTGTAGCTGTGGCCAGTGTATTCAAAGTGGAACCACACAGTCTGGGTCTAGAGCCTTTTATACTAGCTACCTGTCCCACATATGAAAGTCACCCACCCTCAGCAGACAAGCCTGATGATGAAGAAGACAAGGACCAGACCATCTTTACTCCAGAACGTTTTGAGGATGGAGACAAAGGCAGCCCACAGAAAAAGATGACGAAAGAGTCGCCTCCTAGGATGGTTTTAGGAGCAGACAGCTCCGCTTTGCTGTCTGAAGAAAGTTTTGGCTCTGAGCAGCCCCAAGGGGTGGGGCAAGCCTCTGCTTTTAATGGACAGACTACTACTTCAGTCAGTAAGGAGAGCACAGAGCTGTCACAGGGACAGAAGCAAGGTGAGGAGAGTGAGCAGGTGGATAACCAGAGCAGGCAGGCAGGCAGAAGGCTTAACAGGCTGTCCAGGTCCAGGCAGAGAGTTCTTTCCACTCCAACAGGTAACTAACAACCTGGACACAAGGAATACTGTGAACAAAGCAGAATGTCTTTCATGCTATATACCTAATGGCATCAGTGCACACTGTGGTGGTAAAGGCTTCCCACTAGAGAATGGGTACTGTAAATTGGTATTGGTATAAGCAGTATAAAATGTTATATCCAATTCATATCATTACTGCAAACATTTCATAGGAAACACCGTGTTTCACAGGTCATTGTGTCGAAGTAATGGAATGTTACAGCTGCCCTGGGCAACTAGCTCACACACTGCTATTGTGTATACACTAAATGATGGCCAAGCCATCTCCCATCACGAATTAGCTTCTTATGTAGCATGACAGACATCATATTAGGAGACCATTAAGGCCTGTTCAGAGTTTAAAAACACATAACTAAACTGCATTCTTGAAATTGCGTTGCTGATTGAATGTGCAGCCTATCAAATCATTAAAGTATAAAACCAAGTACATTTTTAATATTTTTTGCATGAAATTGTTTAGTTGTATTTTAATGATGTATTTGTAGATTAAAGTAGCCTTTCAATGGACATGTCTGCTAGCTGTTTCTTTGTTACATCCCATCTCTGAATAATTTTATGGAATTGTCAGAATTTCTTGTGAGCCTTTAAATACAGTGCCTTGCGAAAGTATTCGGCCCCCTTGAACTTTGCAACCTTTTGCCACATTTCAGGCTTCAAACATAAAGATATAAAACTGTAATTTTTTGTGAAGAATCAACAACAAGTGGGACACAATCATGAAGTGGAACGAAATTTATTGGATATTTAAAACTTTTTTAACAAATAAAAAACTGAAAAATTGGGCGTGCAAAATTATTCAGCCCCCACTCAGCGACCACTGCAGTGTCGTTACTCTGTGTGTGTGTGTTAGAGGAGACGTGTACACTGTGGGTGACACAACTTGTCTGCATCTCTGCCTTCCTTTACCAACTGGCTAGATGAAGTGAAGACTAACAGCCTCCAAATCAATAAAACATCATCTCCCAAAACTCAGTGTAATGAATCCAGGTGCATTCTGTCTGGTCTGATGGAAGCTGAACAGCTGCAGCCTGTTCTGGTGTAAATGAATTCCACTTTAGTGGATTTGCAGTGGGCCCAAAACCCAATATTTGTTCTTTATTATTTGTAAAAAAGCCATTCACATCCCGAGTGCCAGTCTGACAAGTGAGGAGCCTTGTGAAGCAGAAAAGAGGGTCAGAGAGAAACCGAGACAGACACGTCTATAGAAAGGGAAGGGATACAAGTACGAGGAGCGAGTGACTGCAGGTGAGGGAGGAGACGACTTGTATTCACCTGTCGACCCTTGGGCTGGATGGTGGATGGCAGGTCCTGTGGGAACAAACCATTGGTGACAGAGAGACAGAGTTAAACAAGATACAGATACTTTTCTATAACGGCCAGTGATAACCACCAGTCAGGAGTATAGTTGTTTTTGGCGGCCTGTTTTCATTTTAGTTTTAGTCTAGTCTTTGTTTGAAGCTGTCATTTTAGTTTTTATTAGTTTTCGTCTTACCTTATAGACTCAAGAATACATCCAATATACATTTTGTAGCCGCATTTCTCCCCATCTTTTTCCACAACAAATTCCGTTTTCTTTTCCACTTCTATGCAATGAAAGTTTTTCCAAATGTCGTATCTTCTTTTTCTCCCAATGACGAACCCCGGCTGGCCGGCCATCGGTCCCTTTCTCTGTGTCAGACTTAACTTTGTTTGTTGTCGTCTTCTAAATAATGCCACGAGTGGGGGTTAAGAAAGTGATGTTGCTTGCGTCTGCGCAGTGCGACGTGTCTGTGCAGTGCGACGCGTCTGATGCGGCCCCTGAAGCGAGACACAGGAAACAGAAATACTGCAAAATAATAATAATAACACGACTAAACGAGACGAAATAATGTTATAACATTTCGTCTCGTTTTTTATCATCAACAATATTGCATTATACATTTAATTATAGTCATCGTCACATGACCAGCATTTTCGTTGCGTCTCGTCTCCTTTTCCTCACGTGCTAATGGTTCGTTGACGATGTCATTTAGTCATAATTTTCGTTGACGAAAGCAACCAGAAAAATGAGATTATACATGATTAGACTGATGTGGTTTGTTTTATTACAGTGCAACCTTCACAAATGTATGATTTGCACAGATGAGCAGAGTAGACAAGTGCTCCATTAAAGCCTTTCTTTGCTCATCAACTGCCTCCCCAAGATCCTTGTATGTTATCGTGCATGACCGCTTGTTAATATCACAGAGCGTGGAGAGGCCGCTGAATGTGTGTTAAAAGCACTTAATAGGCAGCCCATGTTACTGAAAGACTCAGTAATGGTTGTGAATGGCTGTGTTCTTTCCCATTAGACTAATTCAGCCTCTTCCCCAAACCAGATCATTAAAGCTATACAAAAAATTCCAATTATGAAACCAACATTACAAGGTGTAATGCCAAAGAAAAAGCTGTCCTTCCCAAATCAGCATTGGAAATGGTCAACACTACAGTGACTATGTATATTTGTAACAATAACCAATAAACTGCAGTATCTGCTAGGAAAGTATCTGCTAGCACAGGCCACACTTCCACCTGAGTCACCTGTAACACCTGAACACCATCTTCTGCAGTTGTATTTCAGAAGTGTTGTCAAAAATGTCAGTTTTTTTTAATCATACTGATTATGAAAATTTGGTTATGTTTCAGTACATATTTTCTGTAGTACTGATACACCAATATCAGCTGCACTTTCTCGCTTTTTCTTCTCTTCCACTGGAAGTTTACACACACATACCCACACAACCCTGCCTCCTCTCACTCACTCACTCACAGTGCTGTCTGCCTCTCGTCACTTGTCTCATTTGCTCCAGTTGAACTTTACACTTACAACAGTCTGTGGTATATTGCAGGTTTTGCTGTGGTGTTCGTTACATATGATTTGTGCAGAACCTCCGCGACAATTTTTGACTGACAAGGAAAACAGCACTGCTGTTTAGCGATGCTAGAGAGCAATGTTAATGATAGCTCTTAACACAACTAATACTGATACTGGCTGTGCGTCACACAGTGTGTGCTCCAGTGTAAAGGCTGAAAACCATTATAAAGCCTCATCCGGTTCTTTCAAACCAGGAACTCAGAGGGACGACTCAGACCACTTGAGTATATAAAAAATATATCCGTGCTGGTTTATTCAAAAAGTCACAGGCAAGAATTTGCACTTCAAGTCCAGAGATCTTCCAACCCCCAGCCTGCCAAAAGCAGCCCGGAAGCAGAAAGACCCCGAACCACGCATTGCTATACATTATTAATCATTTCTGGGCTGTCGAACCGTGACGTCACCTGATATGCCAGCTTGGCAGCTGAGCAGAGCAGTAGACAAAACATGAAGAAAATAATGTGTGTGGCTGTTGTTTTCGTGGTGTGTATCTAAAACAATTTGACATAACATTACACATTAAGACAAATATTATGGTTACTTTTACCGTCATAATAACATTTGTCCCTGACTTGAGCCCTTCTCTGCTTTTTAACTAACCTTGCATTTAACATCCTGAGGAGACATCCTGGCTACACTAAACATTCATAGACAACAAATCTCTGAATATCTATCTAACTAAAAAATAACCTAACAAGTGCATGGAATTTGCACCCGGAAGTGTTTGCGTTTTGTCCAACAGCACATTGATTAGGTAGATGGGACACAGTGACACAGTTTAGTGTCGACTACAGACCTTGTTTGCAAAAGACAAGTGACAGAACAACAGTCAGATCATCCAGACTGACAATTTTACACATTTCATGGGGGGGAGGGCCTCTTCAAGTAGTATAAATGCAACAAAAAAAAAAGAGCCCAGACCTAGACATCAGGAAAACCAGGATCTCTCTCTTAGGCCACGTTCACACTGCAGGCTGAAGTGGCTGATCTTTTTGCCCAAATGTGACCCATATCCGATTTCCTTATGACAGTGTGAACAGCACAGCCGAGGCCACTTTCATATATGGTCCTACATCGGATACATATCCGATGTTTTGCAATGCGACTTCAGTTTGAACGGCCAGGTCGCATTTCATGCGATTTTTATGTCATTGAAATGCGACAGACATCACAATTCTGCGCTGGAGAAGGCGAGGCCATAAGCAATATTTGTGCTCTCCTTCTTCTTGATATTCTTCTTATTATTATTTCTTTATTGTGATTGCACATTAACTGGTACATCGCTACGCACATGCTATCGCGAGCCGCATCCATTTTTATTTTCGCAAACACAGTACGCTGCATCTGACGTCACGTCCTCTTCTGCGCATGCGGGTCACCTCAGGGCCGTATACCGTTCACACATGAGACAGATGGCAGTCGCATTTAAATGACAGTGTGAATAACAGCGTAAAAAAAAGGATTTTGGCAAAAAATTCGATCTGCACATTAAGACCTGCAGTGTGAACGTAGTCTTAGTGTAAAATATGTTGAACATCCTACTTATAATCACAGGTCAAAGGTCACTGTGACATTATTTTTGTCTCATTCTTATGAAGGCAATATCTCAGAAATGCCTTGAGGGAATTTCTTCTAATTTGGCACAAACATTCACTCAAAGATGAACTGATTAGATTTTGTTGTCAAAGGTCACAGTGACCTCATGTCTGTCCCATTATCGTGAATTTGACTGGATGGTGGAGGCATAGAGCCATGGTAATTCTACAGTATTTAGTGTGAAAGCCTGGTTATTCTTTTGTAATGTGAAAACATGCATGGTGGTTTGCCCCCCAATACACAAAAGAAACCGAGCCACACATTTTGGCATAAAAGTTCAGTTTTTGTTGAGTTCATTCTTGACCGCTGAAACCGCTGTCAGTGCCTGTACACAATTTTGCTCAAGACATCAAACCCATGGATCCATTACTAAACCAGTCTTATTATGTTATATTGTCTGACTGGTACCTGGACCTCTGGTGCTAAAATTCAACATACTCAAAGCACTTTTCACTGCTGTTTTATACTGTAACTTCAGGACTGTGATGCTGCAGGTTTAAAGAATGAACACCAGTTACTCTTGTCATTTTATGTTCAACAGTCTTGTTTATTCTAGCTCAGGAAAACTGTGACAAACCAAAAATGCAAAAAAATGTTCTTTAATTTTGATTGGCAGGGGGAGACTTTGAAGTCAAGAGGGTAGGGAGAGGCAGGTTTCAGCA